GGTAAGCAGCAGTAGCAACAGTGTGTCAGCAGCAGGGATCCCCAGGTAGTATCAAGAGGACACTTTCTGCTTGGTTCTTACGGATTTGTGCAGCTTGCTGTGTGAGTCTTGGCAAATTCCAGACTTAGAAAAGCCTTCCAGCACCTGCACAGGAGGGGCTTCAGGATTTACCGCCGCCTGGGTGGTCACCATGTGACATATCCAAGGTGCTTTATAGGGGTCTAGTCATTGGCATAAATCAAACAAAAAATAGCTTTCTGGGGCCTGTGTTGTGGTGCAGTGGGCTAAGCCGCTGCCTACAACATTGGCAGTCCATATGGGATCTGGTTCGTGTCCTGACAGCTCCACTTCCAATCCAGCTCTGTGCTAATGCTCCTGGGAAGGCAGAGGAAGATGGCCCAAGTGTTTGGGCCCCTGCATCTACATGGGAGACCCAGACTGAGCTTCTGGCTCCTGGCTCACGGCTGGCCCAGCCCCAGCCATTGCTGCCATTTAGGGAGTGAATCAATGAACGGAGCACCTTTCTCTCAGTCTCTCTCTCTCTTGCTGTCTCTGTTTCTTCCTTTCTTTCTGTAAGTCTGCCTTTCAAATAATAAAAATAAATGTGAAGAAAAAGCTTTCTATTCTAGAATAACAGTGAAATCTAGAAATGTACATTCATACCTGGCTTAAATTAATGATATATTTTGCCTTATTAATAATGATATTTCTGATTGGAGGAGAGCTGTATTTCTTCCCATCTCATGATAAAGATTACATCATCCTTTCAAGTACAGTGAAATCAATATGATGTTAATAATACCGAGCATTTGTCATGCCTTATGCTTTTTAAAGATCTTGCCTGTGTTTTGTCTCATTCATCTTCTCTGTACCTGTGTTAATTAAGAAGTTACTAGAATTTCTGATTGGAGATGAGGAAGCTTTGACTTAAAGAAGTTATGAGAACTCTAAAGCGTTTGGCACATGACAGAGTGGGCATGAGAAACTCAGGCTATTGTCCACTAAAGCAATACCTCTTCTGTGGTAGAATCTGCTGTTTTTGTAAACTGTTAAGTCATGTATCACAGATAGGAAGAACCAAAGTATTGGAGTCAAAAAGGAGACACTCACACGTTAAAAGAACACATACACCTGTTAATATTTATAGGGAAACTTGTGGTATGTGTGTATATATTTTAGGCATGCAAGGTTTGGTAGTATTCATTAGAATTCTTTGCATTATAGAAAGGAGAAATGTATTAGCTCCCTTAACAGACAAGCCTGGTGTTTCTGGTTTCAGGAACATCCATCCATCCAAGTGCTCAAATGATATTCTCAGGACTCTGTCTCCACCTCTGGCTTTGCTTGCTTCTGTGTTAGCTTTATCGCTGTTGGTTAGCAGGTACAGCGTGGTTAACAGCTTCAGTTTTATAGCTAACTGAAGTAGCCAGTGGTGATACAGCATCCATTTTCCAGGTGTTCCTGCTGATGTCTGATAACTGAGGTTCAAGGACATGTACTGAGTACTGTGCTCCTCCCTAGATCAGCGACTGAAGCCATGGGTGCAGTGATCCCACTGGCTGGGTGGGGAGATATAAGGGCAAAGGGGGACACCTAAGGTGGATGAGAGAGACCCTTCTACTTCCCTTCTTTCTGGGGTCTCATGTCACATTCACTCGCCTATCCAAATCAGACTGATTGGGACCGATGTACCCCCTATGCATTTAGCATTAGCCTGGGTGGACAGGTGGGGCGTAAGTGGGTGGGAGTATAGAAAAGAGAGAGATGACTAATGGCTTGAAGCTTCCCTGTAAGTGCTGAAGAGGTCCTGGGGGGGGTCAGTCCTGAGAGTCCAAGCGACTTGACTGTATATGACACCGTTAGAAAGAGTCACCATCTTCTAACACTGAGCAGCATTGCAGGGTTGGGAACCACAGTCTATCTAAGGCCCCCAGATCATGTGGTCTGGCCCTGCTAAGGTAACCACAGGTCAGACTCAAAATTCAATAAATCAAAGCAGGCGTATTTTTTTAAAAATAGATTTATTTATTTATTTATTTGAAAGGCAGAGTTACAGAGAGTCAGAAGCAGAGAAAGAAAAAGACAGAGAAGTCTTCCATCTGCTGGTTTATTCCCCAGATGGCCGCAGTGGCTGGAGCTGCACTGATCCGAAGGCAGGAGCCAGGAGCTTCTTTTTTTTATTTAATGAATGTATTTTTGCACAGATACAACTTTAAGAATACAGTGGTTCGGGCCGGCGCCGCGGCTCACTAGGCTAATCCTCCGCCTAGCGGCGCCGGCACACCGGGTTCTAGTCCCGGTCAGGGCGCCGGATTCTGTCCCAGTTGCCCCTCTTCCAGGCCAGCCCTCTGCTGTGGCCAGGGAGTGCAGTGGAGGATGGCCCAGGTGCTTGGGCCCTGCACCCCATGGGAGACCAGGAAAAGCACCTGGCTCCTGGCTCCTGCCATCGGATCAGCGCGGTGCGCCGGCCGCAGCGCGCCGGCCGCGGCGGCCATTGGAGGGTGAACCAACGGCAATGGAAGACCTTTCTCTCTGTCTCTCTCTCTCTCACTGTCCACTCTGCCTGTCAAAAAAAAATAAATAAATAAATAAATAAGAATACAGTGGTTCTTTCCCCCATGCTCCTCACCCCACTCCCTTTCCACCTCCCATTCCCTCTCCCATCTTCTTCATTATGGATGACTATGTATAGAGGACCAACTCTGTGCTAATCATAGACTTCAACAATTTGCCCCCATGCCCACACACAATATATAGAGTACAATTTGGGGAGAGAATGTGCAGTTGATTCTCATTTTGCAATTCCATAGGGACAGAGGTCCTACCTGGGGAGCAAGTGCACAGTGACTACTGTTGTTCCTTTAATAATTAACACTTTTTTTTATGATGTCAGTGATCATCCGAGGCTCTTGCTGTGGGCTGCCAGGGCTATGGAGGCCTTTTGTGACCATAGACTCCATCGGTATTTGGACACAGCCATAAGCAAAGAGGATGTTCTCTCCCTTCAGAGAAGAATGTCTCCTTTGATGACCCTTCCTTTCCAGAAACTTCTTCCAGGTCTCCCACGTGGGTGCAGGGGCCTAGGACTTGGGCTGTCTTTTACTCAGAGCAGGCTTTTTAAGTTTAAAATTTTGTATGGCCTGTGAATGATACATTAAATATCTAAATGATCCTTGGCAGAAAAAACGTTCCCCACTCCTGATTTAGAGAAATGATTGTACACTTTTCCTAATGAGTCACTTTCCTAGGGAAGCCCAAATCAAGTGATTTGTAGTTGTCTTGTGGATGTGGAAAGCAATGTTGAATGGCAATCAGCTCAAAACCTGTGTTCTTTCCTTTTACATCTTTCTCTCAACAAGGCCATGCAAAAATCTCCAAAAATATAGCACAAAGAATATGTGCTTGTGACTTCTCTGAGACTGATGTGAGGAGATTTTAGGATTTGATTAGCAGATCTCTGTTCGTGCATTTTCGTGTCCGTTGCTGTTACAACCTTGTCATCATTCTTATTTTTATTATTTTACTATGCTGCACCCTGGTGCTTACTACCAGCAAAGCTAAATAGCTTCCCTGCTTAGTGAGGCATAAAACACTGAGAATGTGCCCATGTGTGGATCTTCACACATGCTGGGTGATTGAGGGTTAGAAGGCAAATCTCACTCAGCATTTTCTGTGGAAGAAAAATATTGCAGTTTATTTGACCTTTTATTTATGGAATAGATAAAGTAATGGGTTTAGCACTTTTCTAAGTTCAAATGAAAATACGGAGAGAAAATTAGATATTTTTAAGTTAAAAGCAAGAAGAATATCTAGATCTTTCTATTTGTTATCACCAGGGATTCTTTTCTCTCTCTCTCTCTCTTTCTCTCTCTCTCTCTTCTCTTTCATGCTCCTCTGGTCAAAGAAAATCTTCTAGTAGCCTCAAGGAGAATGATGCTTGAGAGAATTGAGGATTTAACTACAGATGTGACTCAAGAAAAATGGTCATCTCATGCTTAACTAAACGAACATGCCACTTTTCAAACTTACACAGAGGGCTACTCTTACAGAATCCTATTTTTATAAGCTACACTGAATTTTAATGATCAAGGGTTAATTTGGGGATTGGATTTGTGAATGTAGAATGGGGATTGTATAGGTGATCCACATATGTGTCTGTAGGTCTTGATATTTAGTCATAGAAAGCAATCGAAGTGAGCCAAGGATGTCAGCCATTAAGAAGCAGGCTGTTTCACTGCTGTGATGGTTATTGTCCTTGTGGGAATCTAAGGAGATGGCCCACTGAAGAAGAAATGATAGCTGCTCCAGTCCCCCAAGGAAACAGTGAAATTCAGCTGCACTGGGTTGTAATTAGAAAAGAAGTATATTTAACTATTGAAAAAATCTGAGGGAGCTTGGCACACAGGACTCAGGGGCATGTAGGTGGAGCTTTTTCATCTCCAGAAGTTTCCAGGTTCATAAAGGTTTTCCTAAGTGCCTATGAACTTGACTTTTGGCAGCACACCAGTGTGTAATCCCATCCACTTGCTCTCCATTTGAAGCAGAACAGAAGCTTCCTAAGGACAGGGCTGGCTGCTGACTTTGCCTCCTCTCAAGGCAAGTCTAGGCGGAAAATGGCGCTTTTGCACTGGCGCAGGAGCAGACTGACCTAGCTTCATTTGGTCCCCGGTGGTTTCTTCTTTTGTCATTCATCATGACCGTAGTGATGACCACTGTGGACTGTTTACCTGTGCCTGTCAGCCGGGTACGCGCATTAAGTTGATCTGTGAAGTAACCCTTGTTGTTATCATCACCATTTTACAGACGGGAGAGCTGAGGTGCAGCGGGGTTAGGTCACTTTCCTAAAGTTGCACAGATACTCTGCAATTGCTGAGAGAGACCAGCAGGTTTAGCCCTGGGCCCCCTGCTGGGAGCTGAGTTTGTAGGCATTGCTTCCAATTCTAGCAGCTGTGGGATTCGTGATTCTTCTGTTTACCTTTTCTTTTACTCCTTTTTGTTAGGTCAAGTACAAAAGAGATTTTGAAGAAAGCAAAGGGAGAGGCTTCAGCATTGTGACGGACACTCCTGAACTGCAGAGGCTGAAGAGGACTCAGGAACAAATCAGTAACGTAGGTGCCTGCTTCTTAGTGGGAGAGCTTAGGTGTGCTTCTGGATGACTGGGTGAGATCTGGGGACTCGGAAGTGCATTGGTCGGTGTGGTGCGCGAGCAGTGTTCCGTGTACTCGTGAAATATGCCAACTTCGTCTGGTAAATGTTGACCCCGTGATTTCATCACAGTTATCTAGAGCCTGTTGTTTAGAGGTTGTAGAATGGTAGACTCTTGGTCCATTTTAAATGGTTCTGAGCTCTTGAGTTTTTCCAAAATAGGACTTTTATAATTAAATTAAAAATCCCAAGGGAGTTAATCTTTTGCTATAGATAAGCATACACAATATATGTGTAAGGTTAGGAATCTTGAAAAATGTCATATGAGTATTTGCTAAATTGTGTAATATAATGTCATACTTTAAATTACTTGGATATTGTTTGAAATCCTGTATTACATCTACATTTTGAAATTAACATGTATATGTACAATTACTTTGGGTCTGAAAGCTGTGTCTTGTTTGGTAATATATTTTCCTTGAAAAACAAAATTGAGACTAGCAGAAGTTCAAAACATATTAGGGACAAGAAAGGTTAATTCAATGCTTACTAAAGGGTAAGAGTATAAATAACTCATCTTAATTTTTAGATTCATGATTGCCATTTTCTTTCTTCCGCAGTATTATATGAAGTATCTCAAAATGCATTTTTCCATAAATATTAGCTTGATATTAGCAATACAATAGAAAATATGAATGAAAATCAACAACTATGTATGTTATATAAAAATGGAAACAAATATGCAAAGCACACCATTTTTTATCAGAACTGTATTTTGTGTGTCAATTGTATAGTCACAAAAAAATGTGTGTATCTAGATGTCCCAAGTGATATAGCCCTAATTTCCAGGAAATATTTAATTAGCACATGATACTTGGCCATCATCATGTGACATATATGTACATATAGCTAGCCAAGGATACTTCAAACATTTGTGGAAAATGGAATTAAAAGATAAATCTAGGGGTAGGAGTTTGGAACAGTGCTTAAGCCACTGCCTGGGCCACCCACATCCCATATCAGAGTACTCACCTGGGTTTCAGCTTCTGGGTAATGTACACTCTGGACCGCAGCAGGTGATGGCTCAAGTACATAGTCCCCTGCCACCCATGTGGGAGATCAGAGTGAGTTCTTGGCTCCTGGCTTCAGCTTGACCAAGCCCTGGCTGTTGCAGGCGTTTGGAGAATGAGCCAGCAGACGGGAGATCTCTCTGTCATTCTGTCTTTGTCTGTTTCTCTGTCTTTTAAATGAATAAATAAATATTTTTTAAAAGATTTGTTTATTTTGGTACAATAAATTTTGAGATCCATGCATATTATGAAACAATTATGTATGGATCACAAAATATTTTTGTAGCAAAATTTATCTTTTAATTTCATTTTCCATGAACTTTCTCTGAAACCTTCATATACACACACACACACACATATAATTTGCAGATAAAATTATAGGATATAATTTGCGAAAAATATTTTTCAAAGTTCAAAAATAATTATTGGGTGCTTAAAAATTGTTTTGGAAGTGAGAAGAGGCCACATACACATTTTTTTTGCCATATTCCCTAAGGTTTATTCATTGCTTGCTCTTTAATTCCACATGTTATATTCATAAAGACTTTTTCCTTTGAAGACAAAGGTTGAATTATAAGGATTTACGATATTTGTCTCTTAGTTTTTCCACAACCTGCCAATCGTGACTATTGACAATCCCTTACTATTCTCTTAAATCACAAACCTCTTTTTGCTTTAAAAAATACAAATTAGATGTATATTCTACCAGCAGTTACCTTCAGTAATATTTTTTCTTTGGATTATATTTGGAGAATGTTTTCTTTTAAAATCAAAGCAATTTTGAAAAAAAAAGCTGTATCATAAATCTTCAACTATCACAGAAATTTGTTTCAAAAAGAGCTACACATTTCTACTTAAGACATCATGTGACAGCTAATATAAGGATTGCAGTCTATTCTAAGGTAAGCCTTTTAATTTATATTCAAATTAAGTCAGTATTCATTTTAATTAGGAAAGAACTGATCATTCTCCAACCTTATCCTTAGCAGGAATGTACATTCTCTCCAATACCAGAGGTCGTTTGCAGATCCATTCTTAATTATGCAATAAAAACCCTTAAAACAGGTATGTATTAATCTCTCTTTATCGTTTACATAGTAGTGTGTACAAAATACTGTCTAGGTTAAATATTTATTGCAAGGCCGCCACAAAACACACCCAACACCGGAGTAAGGGAAAAGGCTTCCTGGGGGAAACCCGACAGACAGAGGGAAGGGGTGAAGAAGGAAAAAGAGAGAGAAGGAGAGCGTAAGAGAGAGATCAAGAGAGAGAGAGATAGAGACAGAGAGCAAAAGAGAAATCAGGAGACAGAGAGAAAGAGAGCCACGTGTTCAGGAACAGGTCCTCTTAAAACTTTGCTGGGGGGTAGGCAGGGAGGTAGGAGCAGTGAATCCCATTAGGATAGGGTTGGAACTGGCACCTGGCTTCCAGCAATGGTGGTGGGAGCTAGAGCCCAGGATGGTGTCTGGAATGTAGATCGCGCCATAGATAAGACTGGGCCATTTTACTAACATGTATAATTTAGACAACACTGATTTTTAAAAGCTTGTGACTTAGCATCTCAATATAAAAACATTTCAGTGTCCCACTGTTAGCAGCCATAGCAATCTTGTGAGTAGCTCTTCTAGCCAGGAGGAGGTGTACTAATGTTTGGAGAACAGTAAAAAGTACAGATGTCATAGTGTTACTGGGAGGGACCTACTTGAAGAAGGGAAGCTGTTTAGCACTGTGAAGGCTGGCTAGTTTATTATTCATTTATGGGACTACAGCTTCATGAACTTTTTCCATTACCTTACTGGGTTTTCCATATTACTCAAGAATCTCTCTCTATAAGAGACTTGGATTGATCTGAGACGTGATGCTTTGGCTGGTCCAGTTTTCCATATTACTTTCATCTAAGCCCAATGAACAATGTTGGCTAAAACCCAGACAGATATTTTTGACAGTGGCCTGGATTGTGTCTGTTTCGAAAAGAAGGATGTGAGAAAGCGTCCAGACTAGAAAGACCCAGAATCTTCCTGTTAGGGAGGCTGGGACGAAGCTGACTCATCCTGAGAATTACGTGGGATATGAGGTTGTGAGCCTTGCACTGGAGCTGTAGGTTTCACACCAGTTGATGTAGGGGAGGTGAACCAGGTCAGGAGGCTTTGCGTCTTTATTTTACCCATAGTTTCATTTTCTTATTTGTTTTTAGTTTATCTTTGAATATTGTGTGGCTCTTTCTAAACCGCCTTTAATCCCCTTTGGACCAAAGAAAGTATAAAGACATGAAGCAGTGGATTCGATGACAACCGCTGGGCGTGTGGGGGAATATGTTATGGGTGAGTGGGCATTTTTGATTGCTTGTGTCTGTGTCAGTGTCAGGAAACGTTTTCAGCCCCTCTCATGTTCATTGGTCCAGGTTTGAAATCATTTGGAAATGCCTGCTCGGTCGGCATATGGGACTGAGCCGTGGGATAAGATCGGACTGTACATTTCAAATTGTGTATAGTGAATGAGGTGAGAGTGGGCTCGCCCTGCCTAACCTGCTTCGAGTGTCAATAATGACAGCACACATTGAACACAGGAGATTTATTAAATACTGCAATTTAAAATTCTTCTGCTACGTTACTCCTGTACAGTAGCCGCAGAAAGAAAAAGAGACAGGGCTCCAGAATCTACTAAGTGGTCAGAAAGAAACAGAATTTGGCCTTCTAAAGCAGAGTTCTTTTTTTTCCCCCCAGTGGAATTCCAGACAACGTCTTCACTTCATTGAATATATTAATATTCAGGTAGAGAGTGACTGCTTGCTTACGAAACGGAGTGTGGGCTTGGGAAGGGTTTTCAATGGGAAGTCAGGAAATGCAGCCAAGCCGCTGAATTGAAGATAGTGTTTAGAAGTGCAGGTTTTGCTTAAAAGTGTGTCTCCCCGGCCACACGCAGCCTGGCAGCCACTGTGGACAAGCACTGACTTAGGACAGTGGCCCTTGTCACTTCACTGCGTGCACCTGTTCCGGAATTCTCAGGCAGGAGTCCAGAAATGGAAGAACCGTCCTTATCCATGTTTGCTTTTTCTTTCTAAAACGATGTCAGGGAAATGTTCTTAAAAGATAGTGAACAATGTGAATTGAAGAATGATGTGCTCTTGGGCATACTAAAGCATGAAAACACCATTTCTTTCTCGTCCTGGTGAGTCACTCGGAGGCCTTTCTAATTTCAGGTGGTTACCGCGTGCAGATTTCAAGTACATCAGCCAGGGCTCCTGCAGCAGGTTTGCGTCTCATACCACTGCAGTGTGGCCAGCCGCCCGGGGGACCCAGGGTAGCCTTCAGGAGCTAACTGATGGGTTTCCTTCTGCCTGTTTACACGTGAGTATGAGCTGCACTTTCAATTAGCTGACACTGTGTAGGGATAAAGTGTGACGTACAATGGTCGGGTCAAAACCCAGGAGACTTTTATAGACTTTGCGCTGTAGATAAAACCTAGTTGTTCATTTTCTAATTTCTTTCAGAGTGAAGAGGGATATCATGTGAAGGGAAAAGGAAAAAAAAAAAAAACAGATGACAAAATCATGTATTCACAGACCTACTGACATAGTAAGTGTATGATTTGATTTGTCAAGACCTGTGCTGTCTTTGACACACAAAGGAGTGTTTCCTGTGACAGTGTGTTGGGGCTCCTGTGGCAGCCTCAGAAACCCCCCATCTTAAATTCCTGGCCCGTGGATGGTAGCATGTCCACCTGCCCTTTGCTCCTTCCCTGTACTCGGACAGGGTCTACAAAGTAGGCTCTCCGTCTGTTTCCCAAACACCCCTTGGGCTACCACTTGCAATTCAGCATGCCCGTTAATAAGAAGCTCTTACTTGCTTTACAAGAACAGCTGAGATTGAAGCCTTGTTTAACATTATAGGGAAAAAAAGATCTGTAATTTGATCTTGCAATGTAATTATTTTTAGTTTGATACAGTGAGATAATTTTTCACGGACTTCTTAGAGTGGAAAATAAATTATATGCCCATTAATAAGCTCACATGGGTACTGCTGATTTAGTTCCCTGAGATTTTGCGAGTTAGCTTCAAAAATATTAGATGATTGGAACTAAACATAACCTAATAATTGAGTAGTGGTGTCTATGGACTATTAAAATATTTGACTCAAAGTTAGGTTGAGCGTACGGGTGAGCATGCGGGTAGGGATGATTATCTAGGGATTTGGTCTCTGTTTGTAATTTAAATAAATCATTTTGACAGAGACTGACTGTAACCCTGTCCAGGCTGCTGACAGTGTGAAATTGAGCTGTATGGTGGACAGAAGACTAGCAGTCAAGAGAAATCCCCAAAGGCAAAATTTGTTATGTAATTGGGTCAACTCATGCATGAGAAATGCATGCTAATTGTAAACTGGTGGCAAAATTACTGTGCATCAGGCGATTAGGTTCCATAAGAATCCAAGCAACTGATGTGGAAAGAGTTTTCTTTCTTTTTATATTCAGCAAACATAAAAAAAAAAAAAAGGTGAGACAGGTCAAAATGAGAAATCATTCAATGCTGAAATAGATGTTTAGTTTTGTTCCTTATGCAAAGAAGCATACATTTTGTAACTAATGCGAAGTTTCTATGACCACTTCTGAGGCAGCGAAGTCAAGTCCAGTACACAAAGCAGGTTGAAAGGGGAATGAGACAGTTGTATTGTTAACAACTCATCACTGGATTGATTAATGTAGATGATTAATTAGAGGGTTGGTGGTTTCATGGTAAGCCCTTGAAAGCTAGTATTTTTACCGAGTGAATCTATGTATTCCTTTAAGGGACCATGCGTTGTGTCCAACTCATCTCACCCCATAGCTCCAATGTGCTCCCAAACACTAGTGGGCTGATAGCATTGTCTTTAAAGGCACAGATCAAATATGTCAAAGAAAGTGATGGGACAACAGCGAACTTTGCTCCTAATACTTAACACATGGAGGAATACCTCATTCATTTTGAAGCACTTAGATGTACTCCATTTAATTAGCTCCTCTGAACAGCCTCTCCTCAGGGAAGGTATTTCTATGAGGAATACTTATACTTTCATGAGAAAAATGTACGGAAAATTACCTCTCGGTCCTTTCTTGTTTCCAAGTCATGGTTTCCCTCACACCTGGTTTTGCTTTATTTTTCCATGTAGGGCAGGACTTCAAAGGCTGATCTCGTCTTTTTATCCTCGATGTTTTAGCCACAGTCACTTAAAGATACAAATACATCCCAGACCAGTAATTACTTGTGCATGGCAAGTACAAGCATTGTGGTTGTCAAATGGTGTTGTCTCAAGGGGATGGGAAGAGGCCCCATCGTAATAAAAGAATTAGCACTTGGGACTTCTTTTTGGAGACAGAGATTAAGAAGCCAGTAAACAATTTCTGAAGATCCTTCTTTTGTGAAATCCTTCTCCTCCATTCCTTTCTTTTCAATTCCGCCCGCCGTGGTCAGGCCCTTATTCTGCCTGAGTGACTACAGTGGCTGCCTAATTGGCCTCATCTCCTCCCAGGCCACTAGCTCCTTCCTTTGTATCTTAAACACTATCACCAGATGAGTCTTTCTAAAATCTCTCTTTCATCAAGACCCTAATTATGACCCACTAAAAAACTTTCCTTGGGCCTCCACTTGCAGGAGGATAAAGTCTAATCTCCTAAACCCCTAATTCTGATTCTAAGGACCCTCTACAGGTTTGCTCCTAAATTATTTTTCACCTTATCTTTCACTGCTCGTCCACATCACTCATCCATTTGTTTTAGGCCTGCCTGCTTATTCCAGTCTGGGAGTTTTGCACGAGTCATTGCTCTTGTTTAGGACAACTTTAAACCATGTGTAAATGACATCCCTGGTCCCAGGCACCCACTCAGACCCCAGCTACCACAATCTTCTTCGCCTCTGAATTACTGAAGTGCCTCGTACTGTAGGGCTGTCGTTTGCACCGCAAACACCACACATCATATTTGACATCTTGGTTTTAATTAGGTTTTCAAGGGTCTGTGCCTCAGCCCTTTAACTTCAGAGAGGTGAAGTGCATCAGGTCTTCCTCAGCGTGTCTTTTGTATCTGCAAGAATGCACAGCACTGTACTTGGTGCCTTCTCTTTCTGTCACATCCTTAGCTTAGGAATGTTCCTGTCCCTTGCTTTGGTGGCCAGAATAGTCTCTTTTGCCTCGAGATTGCCTCTGCTGTCTCTCAGGCTGTTCCCTACAAGATTTCTTGCAGGGGCTTCCTAAAATGCACTTCTGATCATGTCATACTCTCTCTCTTACTCCATCCATGGCCCCCTACAACTTTTGGGATAAAATGCAAAACCTTTTTTGTGGCATGCAAGCAAGACTGTCACTGGTTTAGTTTTGGCTGAGACCCCCAACCTGGTGGCCCTGCTGCCTCCTGAGCCTCATTGACTTTGCACTCTTCCCATCCACTTTGAGCCCAGATGTTCTTTCTGCCCTTGATCTCCCCCTTGCCCTGGAAGTCTGCTTCCATAGCTGCATTATGAATTTTCTTCCTCCAGATTGCGCTCTGAATGCATGGCCTGTGCCTTTTTCTCTGTACCCCCAGGGCGTAGCATGGTGCCAAATTTGATAAACCAGTGGATTGACTGTCCTAACAAGTACTGCTTCTGTGGCCTCTCACTGTGCTATAGGATGCCGCTGTGGGATGCTTTCTCTAGTCCACACCTGCTAAACACCCATTTTGATACTGTGATGAAGGAATCCCCCTAGCCTTTTATGAATTTCATCTTATAATAGAGTTTATTGCAAGTTGTTCTAATCTCTTTCAAGGTCTACATGTCGATATCACATCAATTTTCTTCTTGAGAACTCCCAGTTTTTTCTCCATTCCATCATCCTCTAGTATGAAGTAGTTACCACATAAATATTTGTTCAATACATAGCTGAATTATTTTAAGGGTGTTATTTTCTCCATTTCCTTAGCTTTTTTTTTTTTTTTTTTTTTTTTTTCAACAGAAGAGCTTGTTTCTTCATTCACTTCTCAGTCTAGGCAAAGAATATCTTTCCAGGAATCAGAGGATACTTTAAAAAGTTCCTGGAAAATGGACCTGAAAGATAAGTTTATTTTGATGCAAACAATTTTGAAATCTATGTATAATGTGGGGTCTTCAAAGAGTTCATGAAAAATTCATGTCAGGAAAAAAACTAGGCATTGATTTTCAAAATTTCTAGCTCTCTTTTTCCATGAACTTCTTGAAGTCCCTTTGTACGCACTATGGTAGAGAGAACTGGTCTGTCCTTTTCAACACAAGATTGCCTGTGCCTGCAGTAGTTCTCTGTACAGAGCAGGTGCCCATAAGCATGTGTTGAATATA